TGGGTCCACCACCCATTGCAATATCTCCTGTGGATCCTGCACCCATCACGTCCCCTGTGGATCCTGCACCCATCGCAATGTCCCCTGCGGATCCTGCACCTATCACTTCTCCTGTGGGTCCAGCACCCATCACAACGTCCCCTGTGGGTTCTGCCCCGGTCTTGGCGTCCCCTGTGGGTCCAGAAACCATCACAATGTCCCCTGTGGTTCCAACACCCATCACCATGTCTTCTGTGGATGCTGCACCCATCACAATGTTCCCTGTGGGTCCTGCACCCATCACAACGTCCCCTGTGGATCCCACACCCATCACAATGTCCCCTGTGGGTCCAGAACCCATCACAATGTCCCCTGCGAATCCTGCACCCATCACAATGTCCCCTGTGAGTCCTGCACCCATCACATCCCCTGTGGGTCCAGCATCCATCACCATGTCTTCTGTGATCCTGCACCCATCGCAACGTCCCCTGTGGATCCTGCACCCACCACAATGTTCCCTGAGGATCTTGCACCCATTGCAATGTCCCCTGTGGATCCTGCACCCATTGCCACGTCCCCTGTGGACCCTACACCCACCACAACATCCCCTGTGGATCCTGAACCCATCGCAAGGTCCCCTGTGGGTCCAGCACCCATCGCAACATCCACTGTGGATTCTGCACCCACCACAATGTCCCCTGTGGATCTCCCTGAGGATCTTGCACCCATTGCAATGTCCCCTGTGGATCCTGCACCCATTGCCACGTCCCCTGTGGACCCTACACCCACCACAACATCCCCTGTGGATCCTGAACCCATCGCAAGGTCCCCTGTGGGTCCAGCACCCATCGCAACATCCACTGTGGATTCTGCACCCACCACAATGTCCCCTGTGGATCCTCAACCCATCACCATGTCTTCCGTGAATCCTGCACCCATCACGGCCCCTGTATGTCCAGCACCCATCGCAACGGCCCCTGAGGATCCTGCACAAATCACGTCCCCTGTGGGACCAGCACCCATCACAATATCTCCTGAGGATCCTGCACCTATCACGTCGCCTGTGGGTCCTGCACCCATCACAACATCCCCTGCGGATCCAGCACCCATTGCAATGTGTCCCATGGATCCTGCACCCATCGCAATGACCCCTGTGAGTCCTGGATCTATCACATCCCCTGTGGGTCCAGCACCCACCACAACATCCCCTGTGGATCCTGCACCCATCGCAATGTCCCCTGTGGGTCCAGCACCCACCACAACATCCCCTGTGGGTTCTGCCCCGGTCTTGGCATCCTCCACGGTCTTTTTCCGAGGAAGAGGTGCTGATGAAGGAATCCAGCTGCACATCTTCACCTCCCGGCCCCACCACCCCCAACCAGCACCTCCCAGTTCCGAGGAAACCCCAGGCTCGATTTTGGCCAGCTGATCTCCTTGGGCCGCGCCAGGACCCGGCAAAAGCCCCTACCCCGTCCCCCTTGCCGCCGGATTCTGCCGAGTCAGCGGAATTCCAGCTCTTCTCGGAGCCAACCCCTTCTCCCGCTGCTCCCGGGGGAGGATTCTCGGGAAATCATGGACGAGCCCGAGCTGGGTTATAAAAACGGAGATTTTTTGGGAGTGACCCAGCAGATTTTGGGACGATTTCCATGGGATTCGGGGAGAGCATTGGGAGCTGCTGAGGCGGGAAGGAGACGGCCGGTGAGTGGCCCTGTGGATCCCACACCCATCACAATGTCCCCTGTGGGTCCAGAAACCATCACAATGTCCCCTGTGGTTCCAACACCCATCACCATGTCTTCCGTGGATGCTGCACCCATCACAATGTTCCCTGTGGGTCCTGCACCCATCACAACGTCCCCTGTGGATCCCACACCCATCACAATGTCCCCTGTGGGTCCAGAAACCATCACAATGTCCCCTGTGGTTCCAACACCCATCACCATGTCTTCCGTGGATGCTGCACCCATCACAATGTTCCCTGTGGGTCCTGCACCCATCACAACGTCCCCTGTGGATCCCACACCCATCACAATGTCCCCTGTGGGTCCAGAAACCATCACAATGTCCCCTGTGGTTCCAACACCCATCACCATGTCTTCCGTGGATGCTGCACCCATCACAATGTTCCCTGTGGGTCCTGCACCCATCACAACGTCCCCTGTGGATCCCACACCCATCACAATGTCCCCTGTGGGTCCAGAAACCATCACAATGTCCCCTGTGGTTCCAACACCCATCACCATGTCTTCCGTGGATGCTGCACCCATCACAATGTTCCCTGTGGGTCCTGCACCCATCACAACGTCCCCTGTGGATCCCACACCCATCACAATGTCCCCTGTGGGTCCAGAAACCATCACAATGTCCCCTGTGGTTCCAACACCCATCACCATGTCTTCCGTGGATGCTGCACCCATCACAATGTTCCCTGTGGGTCCTGCACCCATCACAACGTCCCCTGTGGATCCCACACCCATCACAATGTCCCCTGTGGGTCCAGAAACCATCACAATGTCCCCTGTGGTTCCAACACCCATCACCATGTCTTCCGTGGATGCTGCACCCATCACAATGTTCCCTGTGGGTCCTGCACCCATCACAACGTCCCCTGTGGATCCCACACCCATCACAATGTCCCCTGTGGGTCCAGAAACCATCACAATGTCCCCTGTGGTTCCAACACCCATCACCATGTCTTCCGTGGATGCTGCACCCATCACAATGTTCCCTGTGGGTCCTGCACCCATCACAACGTCCCCTGTGGATCCCACACCCATCACAATGTCCCCTGTGGGTCCAGAAACCATCACAATGTCCCCTGTGGTTCCAACACCCATCACCATGTCTTCCGTGGATGCTGCACCCATCACAATGTTCCCTGTGGGTCCTGCACCCATCACAACGTCCCCTGTGGATCCCACACCCATCACAATGTCCCCTGTGGGTCCAGAAACCATCACAATGTCCCCTGTGGTTCCAACACCCATCACCATGTCTTCCGTGGATGCTGCACCCATCACAATGTTCCCTGTGGGTCCTGCACCCATCACAACGTCCCCTGTGGATCCCACACCCATCACAATGTCCCCTGTGGGTCCAGAAACCATCACAATGTCCCCTGTGGTTCCAACACCCATCACCATGTCTTCCGTGGATGCTGCACCCATCACAATGTTCCCTGTGGGTCCTGCACCCATCACAACGTCCCCTGTGGATCCCACACCCATCACAATGTCCCCTGTGGGTCCAGAAACCATCACAATGTCCCCTGTGGTTCCAACACCCATCACCATGTCTTCCGTGGATGCTGCACCCATCACAATGTTCCCTGTGGGTCCTGCACCCATCACAACGTCCCCTGTGGATCCCACACCCATCACAATGTCCCCTGTGGGTCCAGAAACCATCACAATGTCCCCTGTGGTTCCAACACCCATCACCATGTCTTCCGTGGATGCTGCACCCATCACAATGTTCCCTGTGGGTCCTGCACCCATCACAACGTCCCCTGTGGATCCCACACCCATCACAATGTCCCCTGTGGGTCCAGAAACCATCACAATGTCCCCTGTGGTTCCAACACCCATCACCATGTCTTCCGTGGATGCTGCACCCATCACAATGTTCCCTGTGGGTCCTGCACCCATCACAACGTCCCCTGTGGATCCCACACCCATCACAATGTCCCCTGTGGGTCCAGAAACCATCACAATGTCCCCTGTGGTTCCAACACCCATCACCATGTCTTCCGTGGATGCTGCACCCATCACAATGTTCCCTGTGGGTCCTGCACCCATCACAACGTCCCCTGTGGATCCCACACCCATCACAATGTCCCCTGTGGGTCCAGAAACCATCACAATGTCCCCTGTGGTTCCAACACCCATCACCATGTCTTCCGTGGATGCTGCACCCATCACAATGTTCCCTGTGGGTCCTGCACCCATCACAACGTCCCCTGTGGATCCCACACCCATCACAATGTCCCCTGTGGGTCCAGAAACCATCACAATGTCCCCTGTGGTTCCAACACCCATCACCATGTCTTCCGTGGATGCTGCACCCATCACAATGTTCCCTGTGGGTCCTGCACCCATCACAACGTCCCCTGTGGATCCCACACCCATCACAATGTCCCCTGTGGGTCCAGAAACCATCACAATGTCCCCTGTGGTTCCAACACCCATCACCATGTCTTCCGTGGATGCTGCACCCATCACAATGTTCCCTGTGGGTCCTGCACCCATCACAACGTCCCCTGTGGATCCCACACCCATCACAATGTCCCCTGTGGGTCCAGAAACCATCACAATGTCCCCTGTGGTTCCAACACCCATCACCATGTCTTCCGTGGATGCTGCACCCATCACAATGTTCCCTGTGGGTCCTGCACCCATCACAACGTCCCCTGTGGATCCCACACCCATCACAATGTCCCCTGTGGGTCCAGAAACCATCACAATGTCCCCTGTGGTTCCAACACCCATCACCATGTCTTCCGTGGATGCTGCACCCATCACAATGTTCCCTGTGGGTCCTGCACCCATCACAACGTCCCCTGTGGATCCCACACCCATCACAATGTCCCCTGTGGGTCCAGAAACCATCACAATGTCCCCTGTGGTTCCAACACCCATCACCATGTCTTCCGTGGATGCTGCACCCATCACAATGTTCCCTGTGGGTCCTGCACCCATCACAACGTCCCCTGTGGATCCCACACCCATCACAATGTCCCCTGTGGGTCCAGAAACCATCACAATGTCCCCTGTGGTTCCAACACCCATCACCATGTCTTCCGTGGATGCTGCACCCATCACAATGTTCCCTGTGGGTCCTGCACCCATCACAACGTCCCCTGTGGATCCCACACCCATCACAATGTCCCCTGTGGGTCCAGAAACCATCACAATGTCCCCTGTGGTTCCAACACCCATCACCATGTCTTCCGTGGATGCTGCACCCATCACAATGTTCCCTGTGGGTCCTGCACCCATCACAACGTCCCCTGTGGATCCCACACCCATCACAATGTCCCCTGTGGGTCCAGAAACCATCACAATGTCCCCTGTGGTTCCAACACCCATCACCATGTCTTCCGTGGATGCTGCACCCATCACAATGTTCCCTGTGGGTCCTGCACCCATCACAACGTCCCCTGTGGATCCCACACCCATCACAATGTCCCCTGTGGGTCCAGAAACCATCACAATGTCCCCTGTGGTTCCAACACCCATCACCATGTCTTCCGTGGATGCTGCACCCATCACAATGTTCCCTGTGGGTCCTGCACCCATCACAACGTCCCCTGTGGATCCCACACCCATCACAATGTCCCCTGTGGGTCCAGAAACCATCACAATGTCCCCTGTGGTTCCAACACCCATCACCATGTCTTCCGTGGATGCTGCACCCATCACAATGTTCCCTGTGGGTCCTGCACCCATCACAACG